AGTACTGGCTGGGTACGGCCACTATGGACCAGTCCGGACCAGTCCGGACCAGTATAGACCAGTATGGGACACTATAGACCAGTATAGACCAGTATGGGACAGTATAGACCAGTATAGACCGGTATAGACCAGTATGGGACAGTATAGACCAGTATGGACCAGTATGGACCAGTATAGACCACTATGGGACAGTATGGGACAGTATAGACCAGTATAGACCAGTATAGACCAGTATGGGACAGTCCGGACCAGTATAGACCAGTATGGGACAGTATAGACCAGTGTAGACCGGTATAGACCGGTATGGGACAGTGTAAACCAGTATAAACCAGTACAGACCAGTATAGACCAGTATGGGACAGTCCGGACCAGTATAAACCAGTACAGACCAGTATAAACCAGTATAGACCAGTATAGGACAGTATAAGCCAGTACAGACCAGTATAGACCAGTTCGGACCAGTATAGACCAGTATGGGACAGTATGGACCAGTATAGACCGGTATGGACCAGTTCGGACCAGTATAGACCAGTATGGGACAGCATGGACCAGTATAGACCAGTATAAACCAGTATGGGACAGTGTAAACCAGTATAAACCAGTACAGACCAGTATGGACCAGTATGGATGATTATAAACCAGTACGGACCAGTATGGCCCAGTATAGGACAGGACAGGCCAGTATAAACCAGTGTGGACCAGTATAGGACAGTGTGGGACAGTGTAAACCAGTACAGACCTGGGTAGACCAGTATGAACCAGTATGGGCCAGTATGGGCCAGTACGTGACCCCTGAGTGACCCCTGAGTGACCCCTGAGTGACCCCAATGACCCCTGAGTGACCCCAGTGACCCAGACTGACCCCCCAGTGACCCCAGAGTGACCCTGAGTGACCCCAGAGTGACCCTGAGTGACCCCTGAGTGACCCTGAGTGACCCCAGAGTGACCCTGAATGATCCTGAGTGACCCAGAGTGACCCCAATGACCCCTGAGTGACCCCTGAGTGACCCCTGAGTGACCCTGACTGACCCCAGAGTGACCCCAATGACCCCAGAGTGACCCCTGAGTGACCCCAGACTGACCCCAATGACCCCAGAGTGACCCTGACTGACCCAAATGACCCCCAGTGACTCCCAATGACCCCTGAGTGACCCTGAGTGACCCCAGAGTGACCCCCAGTGACCCCTGAGTGACCCCAGACTGACCCCAATGACCCCAGAGTGACCCCAATGACCCAGACTGACCCCAGAGTGACCCTGACTGACCCAAATGACCCCCAGTGACTCCCAATGACCCCAGAGTGACCCCAGAGTGACCCCTGAGTGACCCCCAGTGACCTCAGAGTGACTCCAGTGGCTCCCAATGACCCCAGAGTGACCCCAATGACCCCAGAGTGACCCCACAGTGACCCCAATGACCCCAGACTGACCCCAGAGTGACCCCTGGGTGCCCCCCAGTGACCCCTGGGTGCCCCCCAGAGTGACCCCTGGGTGCCCCGTGCCCCCAGGCCTGCACTCCCTGGCCCTGCTGACGCTGCAGGCTCGCTACGAGCTGCGCGTGGAGCTCGAGGACTTTGAGAACAACTCGGCCGCGGCCACCTACGGCTCCTTCGCGCTCTCGCCCACGGCCATCAGCGCCGAGGAGGACGGCTAC